ACTGATGTGATTCCAATCTTCAAAAAAGAAAAAAAAACTATAAACCAATCAACTTGACACGACCTACAAAAATCCTGGAAAAGATAATTAAGTAGCGCATTTATGAGCACCTAGAAATGAACAAGATAATTACTAGAATCCAGCATGAATATGTCAAAAACAGATCATGCCAGACAAAATGTGTTGCCTTCATTGACCAAGGGACTAAATTAATGGCTCAGGAAAATGGACATAGTTTACTTAGACTTCAGTAAAGCATTTAACAAAGTAGACAACTGCCTACTTCATGGTAAGACAGAAAAACGTGGTATAGACACGTGGAGGGAAGCATGCAGTGGGGGTACTTCAAGGTTCTGTCTTAAGCCCAATTCTCTTCAACATCTTCATAATTATTTACATGGGAGGGTATATAGAAGGGGAACTCATCAAATTTGCAGACAACACCAAACTAGAGGGAATAGTCAACATTTTAGAAGATACACTCTCTCAAGAAGGAACTTGAGAGACCTGAACCAGGGTTCCTGTCCAACAAAACACAATTCTGTGGTGCAAAAAGTAAGGTTATTATATACCTAGGCAAGGAAAACTAAACATAGGGGTTTAGAATAGGCAGGACCTGGCTCAACAGTAGTGATTGTGAGAGTGATCTTGGTGTACTAGTAGACTACCACTTGCACTTTATGGCAGGATGCCAGCAGAACGAAGAAGCTGAAGCTGGCAGGCCCCTGGCACCAACATAGTCCTAGGCGGCATCAACAGAGGGATAGTATCAAGATCACTTGAAGTGATATCACTTTATAGTGCCCTTGTAAGACCATACCGTACTTGCATACTGCACCCTGGCCATTATGATCACTCTTCAAAGAGTACAGAGGACCCATTGCAAAGATGAAAAGGGGTTGGGAGGAAAAACCATAGGATGAACAGTTCAGGGAATTCGGTAAGGTCTAGCCTATCAAAGGGAATGATGGCAGCCTCCCAGGACTTGAGGGGCTGTCCAGCACAGAGAAGAGAGGTCAACCTATCTCCAAAGCACCACAAGAAGTAATGAATGGAAGACCATTAAAGAGACATTCAACCTAGAACTAAGGAGAAACGCCTTGACAGTGAGAACAGTCAGTGAGTGGCTTGTCGCTGGAAGTTGTGGCTGCTCCATCACCAGAGGTTTCCAAAAAGAGACTGGACAGCCATTTGTCCAGAACGGTGCCATGGGCAGGGGGTCACTCTAGAGGCCCTCCCTCCCAACTCTATTATTCTGTCCTCTATACTCTACTCCACCAGGTACTCCCGAAGGACAACAAGAAGGGCCAGGCATGCTGGGCTGCTCTTGGTAAAAGGGAACCACCAGAACCCCTCCCCACATCCACCCTCCCCGCCCTTGGGCCTGCTCGTAGGGCAGAGTAGAGTTTAAAAGAGATCTTCAGCACAACAGTTGGGCTGCTCTGCAGAACCACTTTATATTTTCTGGGCTATTGTAATAAAGTGACAGTTGCACTTCTCAAGAACTCACTAAAGATAACATACCCTTTTATCCTACCATAAAAGATGTAACAATGCTGTTGAACGTTCAGTTAGAAATTCAGTTTCAGAATGACAGAGGAGAACTTGCGAAGCAGAAAAGAACGAAAGCCGGAAAACAACTCCAGCAAAACCAGTCCAGCTTTTCATTAGGAGGTTTTGAAATTAAATTAAATTAAAAGTGATTTAAGGCAAGTGATCCCCAACCTTCCCGGCTTTGTAGATTGGGGTGGGGGGGCAGGGAGAGGAGGAAATGATTCTGTGAGAGCGGCAGGCCTGCGCTTGCACACACACACAGCTCACACAGGGCCTGGAGGCCCCGCGGCCCTGGTCCTTTCTTTGGGCCAATGGGCCTTTCTGCCTAAGGGCAAAAACAGGTGGAAGATCCAGCCTAGAATTAGGGAGAAATGTATGGACAGGAAGAACAATTAACCAGTGGAACAGAAGCTGCCTCTAGGGAAGAAGGCAGAGCCTCCTCGCTGACGGACCGTAGATTGCGACTCTCTGCGGCTATGGTCTGTGCTCTTTTGTTGGAGAGCCCCGATCATTACGATTAGGGGCTGAAGCTGCCTTGGAGGGGTGGCGGAGTAAGGGAAGCCACAAGCCAGGCTGGGGGGAGCCGCATCTCCCCCCTGGGCTTGGTCTTTTTCCCCCCCGAAGATGACTGCAGCGGCGGTTTAAAATGGCCACCCCGAAGAAGAGGACTCAGCTGGATTAAGATTTGTGCAGGAGGGAAGAAAGAGGTGGATAACATCTGAACCAGGACAACTGGGCAATACAACTAAACAAAAGTACCCCGGGATTAAGGGTAACATGGAATTTTTAAGAAAAGAAAAGTGAGCGGCGAAATTACAAAGGGACAGGGGGGGAAAAAGAAAATATTTTTGACAGCTAAGTGGGGCTTCGAACCGGGAAAGGAAGAAGCTGGAACTAAAGATTTAACTAAATTGGACTAAAATATTTTGGGAATAAACAGGCATAAAATAAAGCTGGACTTAAGATTGTCAAAAAATAATAATAATAAAGTTTACAAATTGGAGACTGGACTGTGCTGGAATATTGAGGTTCGAAAAACCCTAAATAAAAAAATAGGGGGAAAAGGTGAAGACTTTGTAGGAGAGTGCCACCTTTTGACAAAAATTTGAGCTCAAACAAAACGGAAAGCATCCTGTTTCTGAATGAACTTGTGTGGATATAACATTAAAGAAATATTGAAACAAAGTAAGAATCTTAGAAAGTGAAAGCAGAACCAGAATAAAGAAAAAAGCAAGGAAAGACTGACTGTGGGATTGATTGATGTTTTTGGTATAGACCCTGGGCTGAAATAATTGAGAACTTTAGAAAACTGAAAGAAGAAAGAAGGAAAGTAAAAGTGTTTTTTTGGGGGGTGGACTTTAACAATCATAAAATATAAGAGTGTGTAATGATGATCTCTCTTCGGGAATTAAAAATGGAACTTAAAAATATGAGAGAATTACTACAGGAAAGAGGCGAATCACTTTGCTCTGTGTTAGAAAAAATGGAAATGGTGATTGAAGAACAAGAAGAAAGAGCTTCAGAGGAGAAGTCGATTCAAGGAGAAGACATTTTAAATAGACAATTAACACAAAGAACACTACAAAGAAGTGGGGAAAGAAGGAAGGTTAAAAAGTTGAAATTTAAGAAGGCAATCAAAAGGGGGAATACCTGTGAAGTCAGGAAAGGCAGAAAGACCCAGCAGAAAAGGGGAAAGGAAGATATTAAGAAAGAGAGGGATATAAACTGGAATGAGAAAAGATATGGGGAAAAGAGGGGGAGGAGAAGCAGTAAGAAACAGGTGCATGAAATAAAGAAATACGGAAATAGTAAAATGTTGAAAAGAAATTGTTTTTTCAGAGATAATGGTTGATGGGATTCTGCAGGATGAAAAGGGGATTCTGCAGGATGACAAGGGGTAATAAGAATATTTCTGCAATTAAAAATATTTAGAAAATAGGGTAATATAGATACTGATTACTCTTATTAAAAATCAAGGGGGGAAAATATGCTGCAGAATCCAAGTGAAAAGATGGAATGATTATTATTGTAACTTCTTAAAAATAATGGTTTATTGGGAATCAAGATGAGGGAATAAAGGTATATTTTAATCATTGAAGTGTCATTCTCAAAACAGTAAAAGGGGGGAAACCTATACTTGTGTTGTTGTTTTTAGTGTTAAAAGTTGTATCAATCTAGAATTTATAAAAAGAATGTGTAATGGAAAGGGAATATGACAGACTAAAGAACCAACTAAATTAATAAGTTAATATAGACTATTAAAAGCAAGGAGAGACATTGGTAACTTTTTTATTATTATTATTATTATTATTATTATTATTATTATTATTATTATT